ATAGTTTAAATTCCTTTATTTCAACCACTCAAGATTTGAAATGTTTTTTTTTTTTTTTTTAGGCCTCAACACTGACCACGGAAGTGGTCATGGGTTGAGATATAGTGATGGGGCTATGTCCGGCGTCCGTCGTCGTGCGTCGTGCGTCGTGCGTTGTGCGTCGTTCGTCCGTCAAGCAATTGGGTTGTTAACAGTCTAGGCAGTCACAGTTTTGATTTTGGATCATCATCAAAACTTTGTCAGAATGTTTGTCTCAATGAAATACAGATCGAGATCGAAGATGGGTTATCTTCGGGTCCAAAAACTAGGTCAACAGGAGCTAAAAATAGAAAAAAGCTTTGTTAACACTCTAGAGGCTGCAGTTTTCAATACAAATATTCATGGAAATTTGTCAGGAAGGTTTGTTTTAATGATATCTAGGTCAAGTTCGAAAGATGGGTCATCTCCGGTCAAAAACTTAGGTCACATGAGGCTAAAAAAGAAAAAGCTTGTTAACACTACTAACAATTGGGTTGGGTTAACAGTCTAGCAGTCAAAGTTTTGATTGGATCATCATCAAAACTTTGTCAGAAATGGTTTTGTCTCAATGAAATACAGATCGAGTTTTCGAAGATGGGTTATCTCGGGTCCAAAACTAGGTCAACAGGAGCAAAAATAGAAAAAGCTTTGTTAACACTCTAGAGGCTTGCAGTTTTCATCCAAAAAAAAAAAAAAAATATTTCTGGAAAATTTGTCAGGAAGGTTGTTTTAGATGATATCTAGGTCCCAAGTTCGAAGATGGGTCATCTCTGGGTCAAAAACTAGGTCAACGAGCTAAAAATAGAAAAAAGCCTTGTTAACACTCTAAATAATTGGGTTGGGTTAACAGTCTAGCAGTCACAGTTTTGAATTGGATTTCATCATCAAACTTTGTCAGAATGTTTGGGTTCAATGAAATACAGATCGAAGTTCGAAGAATGGGTTATCTCGGGTCAAAAAACTAGGTTTCACAAGGAGCTAAAAATAGAAAAAAGCTTGGGTTTAACACTCTAGAGGCCCTGCAGTTTTTTCATACAAATATTTCTGGAAATTTGTCAAGGAAGGTTGTTTTAATTTGATATCTTAGGTCAAGTTTTCGAAGATGGGTCATCTTCCGGGTCAAAAACTAGGTCACAGGAGCTAAAAAAATAGAAAAAGCTTGTTAACACTCTAGTGGCTGCAGGTTTTTCATCCAAATATTTTGGAAATTTTTGTCAAGGAAGGTTGTTTTGATGATAATCTAGGTCAAGTTCGAAGATGGGTCATCTGGGTCAAAACTAGGGTCACAGGAGCTAAAAATAGAAAAAAGCCTTGTTAACACTCTAGTGGCCGCAGTTTTTCATCCAAATATTCTTGAAATTTGTCAGGAAAGTTGTTTTTGATGGTTTCTAAGGTCAAGTTCAAAGATGGGTCATCTCTGGTCAAAAAACTAGGTCACAGGAGCTAAAAATAGAAAAAGCTTGTTAACACTCTATAGGCTGCAGTTTTCATCCAAATATTCTGGAAATTTGTCAGGAAAGGTTGTTTAGATGATATCTAGGTCAAGTTTTGAAGATAGATTCATGTCTGGTCAAAAACTAGGTCACAGGAGCTAAAAATAGAAAAAAGCTTGTTAACAACTCTAGTGGCTGCAATTTTCATCCAAATAATTTGGAAATTTTGTCAGGAAGGTTGTTTTTGATTTTATCTAGGTCAAGTTCGAAGATGGGTCATGTCTGGTCAAAAACTAGGTCACAGGAGCTAAAAATAGAAAAAGCTTGTTAACACTGCTATAGGCCTGCAGTTTTTCATCCAAATATTCTGGAAATTTGTCAGGAAGGTTGTTTAGATGATATCTAGGTCAAGTTTAAAGATGGATCATGTCTGGTCAAAAACTAGGTCACAGGAGCTAAAAATAGAAAAAGCTTGGTTAACACTCTAGTGGCTGCAGTTTTCAATCCAAATATTCTGGAAAATTTGTCAGGAAGGTTTGCTTAGATAATATCTAGGTCAAGTTCGAAGATGGGTCATCTCCGGGGTCAAAAACTAGGTCACCAGGAGCTAAAAATAGAAAAAAGTTTGTTAACACTCTAGTGGCTGCAGTTTTCAATCCAAATATTCTTGAAAATTTGTCAGGAAGGTTGTTTTGATGATATCTAGGTCAAGTTTGAAGATGGGTAATGTTCCGGTCAAAAACTAGGTCAGCAGGAGCTTTAAAATAGAAAAAGCTTGTTAACACTCTAGTGGCTGCAGTTCTCATCCAAATATTCTGGAAATTTGTCAGGAAGGTTGTTTTGATGATATCTAGGTCAAGTTGGAAAGATGGGTCATGTCTGGTCAAAAACTAGGTCACAGGTGCTAAAAATAGAAAAAAGCTTGTTAACACTCTAGTGGCTGCAGTTTTTCATCCAAATATTTTGGAAATTTGTCAGGAAGGTTGTTTTGTGTTGATTTTCAGGTCAAGTTCGAAAGATGGGTTATCACCGGTCAAAAACTAGGTCACAGGAGCTAAAAATAGAAAAAAGCTTGTTAACACTCTAGTGGGCTGCAGTTTTGATTAAAATATATTTGGAAATTTGTCAGGAAGGTTGTTTTAATGATTTCTAGGTCAAGTTTGAAGATGGGTCATGTCTGGTCAAAAAACTAGGTCACAGGAGCTAAAAAATAGAAAAAGCTTGTTAACACTCTAAATGGTTTGCAGTTTTCATCCAAACATTCTGGAAATTTGTCAGAAAAGTTTTGTTTTTTTGATGATTTCTAGGTCAAGTTCGAAGATGGGTCATCTCAGGTCAAAAACTAGGTCACAGGAGCTAAAAAAAATAGAAAAAGCTTGTTTAACACTCTAATGGCTGCAGTTTTCATCTAAATGTTCTGGAAATTTGTCAAGAAGGTTGTTTTGATGATATCTAAGTCAAGTTCGAAGATGGGTCATCTCCGGTCAAAACTAGGGTCACAGGAGCTAAAAACATAGAAAAAGCTTGTTAACACTCTAGTGGCTGCAGTATTGATTCAAATATTCTGGAAATTTGTCAGGAAGGTTTTTTGATGATTTCTAGGTCAAGTTCGAAGATGGGCCATCTCAGGTCAAAAACTAGGTCACAGGAGTTAAAAAATAGAAAAAGCTTGTTTTACACTCTAGTGGCTGCAGTTTTTATTCAAATTTTTCAGGAAATTTGTCAAGAATGTTGTTTTGATGTTTTCTGGGTCAAGTGCTTAGATTGGTCATGTCTGGTCAAAAACTAGGTCACAGGAGCTAAAAATAGAAAAAATCTTTTTAACACTCTAGTGGCTGCAGTTTTGATCCAAATTTCCTGGAAATTGGTCAGGAAGGTTGTTTTGATGATTTCTAGGTCAAGTTTGAATATGGGTCGTGTCCAGTCAAAAATTAGGTCACATTGCCCAAATATGGAAAAATCTTTATAACACACTAGAGGTCACATGTTTGACTCAGTCGCATCAAACTTGGTCATGATGCTTGTTTAAGACATTGCTTGAATGCGGTTGTGTCAGGTGAGCGATCCAGGGCCATCATGGCCCTCTTGTTTTAATGATGCAGCCTCACTTACTATATAGATTTGCCTCATAAATCCATCTGAATTTAATTGTTAGTATTGTTTTTTTATTTGTTTTTTTTTATTTATAAACAAAACTCATGGCCCTTAAGGGCATAAGAGTGAACAATCAACAAAACAAAAAATAATAATACAAACATGGATGGAAAGTAAATGAATTAAAAAAGGAAAGAGATTATTGAAATTTCAGCTTAAAGCAAAAAAAAAGGGGCTATAAATAAAGTATTCGTTGTCGCAAACACATTAGACCCTAAAAATTAAAAATACTAAAAAACCTTTGAATAATAGTTACTATTCCCCTGTGTCTTTCATGATTAAAAAAAGACTTTAAATAAATGAAAATTTTCACCCATTTCTTGCTGTACGTGAGCATGTTTTATTTTTTCTTTTAAAACAAAATGCGACCTTTTTTTTAGGAAAAATTTAGAATTTAACATCTAAAATTTCAAGAACAATTTCTAAATTTTTTGGAAAAAAGTAAAATTTTGTTTCTAATTTAAATTGATTTTATATTTCTAAAGTTTTAAAACTTAGCAGAAACAAAAAATCACTATTCCATATTGTAAAAATGATCCGTTGTGATTTATTACATATTTAAAATTATTAAAATTTGCAACATTCTGAGTTATCCAAAAATCAGAACAACCAATATTATTCAAAGTAGATTTTACTTTCTCGATCAACTGACATTGTATATTTATGATAATTTGCAATGCACTTTCCCATGTCGGCCATGTTGGACTATTACGTAGAGGTTACGTAGTGAATGCAAGCGATAGTTCTTTATCCGATTGCGTATAAAAAGGAACACGTTTAATTATTTTTCTTTCGATATTAGCGCATGATAGCTTATATTTTTAAAAATCATTTGTTGAGGCTGTGACAAAAATTAATTTTGGTGCTAGGTTGAGTGCATTTCAGCTCTAACATAAACTCGTTTAAAATACATTTCTAGCTATCATTTAATCAAAATTAATCGCTGAACGATCTACATGTAGCTAAAGTTGTTAAAAACTTAATATGATTACGATATTTTAATAAAGGTTTTAACCACGTTTTCATTTTGCGTGCGTTTTAGCGTGCGTATATCGTTTAGCGTATTTCGTATATCGTTTAGCATGCGTCTGCGTATTTCGTTTCGTATAGCGTTCGTATAACGTTCGTTCGTATAGCGTGAAACATGCGTGCGTTTTTTCCAGAGCGTGCGTTTTGCGTGTAAACTAAAACGTTCACCCTACTATAACGAACCTTTCAATTACACAAAACTTACACAAACTTACACAAAAGACCAATTATACAGTTTAATCAAGAGAATCATATATGTGTGTTCAATATTCGAGTACAGTACTAAAAACGAAACTTCTTAAGATATATTTTCACACATATTTTTCAAAATATTGAAGCGTCTGTTTAGATTTGCTTGCCTCACACCATCCGGTCTGTTCAATCCAATATACACAAAACTGTAAAATAACAATACTATCTTCTTCAGGTATTTTGTCATTAATTGGATTTGCGATTCCAAGTGATGTGTATGCATGGACAGCCATTTTTGTGTTACCAATTAACTCTGCCCTAAACCCATTTCTGTATACAGTGTCAGCAATACTCGGAAAGAAGGTAATTTAGAATAATGGTTTGCTTTCTCGCTGCTATTTGCATTGAACTTATAATATTCGTCACTCATGATTCGTTGTTATACTCATTTTATTTCAATTTGAATTCCGCCTTAACAATTCGGTGGATTTTGACCACAATTCACAAAAGTAACCGTTAGACTTCCCTTATATAAATAGTTCTAGCCCTAGCCTGGTGCACCAAAAAATAACAAAAGCTAAATATGCAGGTTAGGATCGAGGTTGCTTTTAGAGAAAGGTGTTAATATTATGATAAGGGATAATATTTATAAAAGGGGAGGTTAGTTAGGATATCGATATTTCTCATGTTTACCACAGGGAAAATGAGTAAAGATATTGCTGATTTTTACTACTATTGACTTGGATATTTTTGACAAATTCTTTTGACAATGGTTCAAGGAGTATTAAATTTACGCAATTACAGTTCTTGATAGGTGATGAATAATATATTGTCACATGATTTTATTTCGATTAAGCAATATGATACAAATTACTGAATTGGTACACAATTGGTTATTTGTACACATGTAGCCTTTTGATTGATTACCTGAAGGTTTTTGGACAATTGAGCGCATCATATGTTACTTGTAAATATTCTTACAATATTTCATGTACTGACCCTGTCTATTAGATAAACCAGTTGTTGTTTTATCTACTGTTAGTCTGGCAAATGATTGAATTAGAACTTTAACATTTAATCTGCTCTTAATTTGTTGTATCGTCTGAAACGTTGGTTTCTTTAATACACCAAGGGAGCCCCATTTACCAGACATACTTCAATTTATTATGTATTATTCATTGAAACGGCCAAAAGCTTTGGAATCTATGAAAACGGACAAGTAACCAATTAATATTTACGTTCCTCGTAATGTTTAATCATGAGAATAAGCATCACAAAAGTATAAGCGCCAAGAAAAAAGGAAAACGGGATTCCTTAAGTACGCCCGATACGGCAAATTAAAATGTTGACGACTTGGTTTCACTGACCCTTTTTATTAAAATAATAGTTAACGCGAGCTACCGTGTACATCCCAAGTACCGGCTTGAGCTAAATTCAATACTTTAACCTAATAGGTCAAATATTAAATTTAGTAAGGAACATCCAGAGATTGGTGTCATGGCGAATTTTTTAGAATATCTTTAGACGAGAATCTTTTAAAGAATCAGGTTTCGTTTTCCTCTTTTTATTTTTAGAGTTTTAATCCAAGCATTGATGAGCAGAGTCGAACAATGGTCCAGAAAGGTAAACATCTAACACTACTGTAGTTTATCGTTCATGTTTTTTTTGTTTTGTTTCACTGTCAAGTAACAATTTCACATAGACCAATTGTCAATGACAGTATGCCATATATTTAAAATCAAATCGTTTAACCTTAAATATTCATTTTGCTCATGGTGTGTCAAAATATCACACTCAATGTATCAATGTCAATATAATATTTTGTATATATTTATATTGTCCAAAGCAAGATAATAGTAAGCGATACAATTTCTTTTAAGATAATGAATGTTTGCTCAAGGTTCATAATTGATAACGAAGTATCATATCATGCCTTTGTAAATTTTATTGTTTTATTCACATCAAGCTGTGTGACGTTTGCTTCAGAACATAAAACGTTTTTCCCCTTTAAATGCATACTTAGTACCTACTCTACAACAAGGTTCAAAATATTAATAGGAGTTAATTTCTAAATAATATCAATGTTATAAGTGTATGACGCTGGTTTGATGTTTTTTATATTGATTGCAATTGCGATAACTTGTTAATATGTTATACTTAATAGTTTCTTTTATTACAATACCTTACAATACAGCTCACAGTGCATCACATCTGAAATTTGATTGAAAATATGGTTGTGATAAACTATACATGTATATATATTTCATATATTTGTTTGTTTCCGGTATAAATCACTGACAGTAATTTACCGTTTAATATATGTTTTGCAGAAAATGGCAGCGTCATTTTGAAATATCAAAAATTTAACAGATCTGTTCGCATGAAACAAGAAGTTGTTCCCATAGGAACAATGCGTTGTATCCAAGAAATACTTAATGATGATAGATGTTTGTCAGTCAGTATTGTTGCAGCAGTATCCAAACAACTTGCCGAATATCTTTGTCTATTAGATGAGTGTTTCATTGTCATAGACGAGATATGTGAGACGAATGTTTACATAACAAAGGTATATATATACCTAATTGTCAAATAATTATATCACTCCTTATCAGGTATGTATGTATTTTCCAAGATAAGGGTAAAAATTCAGTCAAGGTTGCACTCATAAGGATGAAAGGGAAAACAAAACACATAGTTTAAATGAAAATTGGGATTTTTAAAAATGCCATGAACTGACATTTTTATACTTAGTACACAAATTGATCAAATAATATGGTTTAATAAATGATTCCCGAAACAATCTGACTTGGTTCAGCTCCTTCAGGCTTGATTAATACATTTGATAATTTTCTTTTCCATAGGGTAAATATCCAATTGTTGTAATAGATGCAAAATCTTCGATAGCTGCCGATGAAAGAGCTCTACAGAGAAATATATGCCAATATGGAAATTTTCTTCGAAAACTTGTTACAAAATGTGATAAGAATTTGAAGTAATATGTGGAAAAAAAGAAACGCAATGGTGTGAACTATTTGTTTCGTAGTTCAATGACACAGCTATTACTCGTATTTTAGTTTGAACTATATTTACTATAGCGGGCAAACTGTATAGTATGTCTGTTTAAATGTGTTAGAATTAATGAAGTCATGTTTTGTCTATTCAGTATACATATATGTTCAATAAATTTTCTGATTTATATTTCATACAGTGACAAATCGTTGCTTATATTCAACGGGATTTTTGTTGTTGTTGTTGTTGTTTTTTTGTTTTTGTTGTTGTTGGTAGTGGTTGATGTAAACTTGTGTAATTATTTTTTTTCTATATCAATTATTCATATGATATTTAATTTTATAAATGTCTTGACGTTGACCATGTTTTTTTATCAGTTTTAGTAAATGTTTTAATAATGTATTGACGACCAGGTAACCCCTTATCTTTATTTCTTGACTCATTTTTTATTTTGAGTGAATTCATTTTGATGTTTTCTTCAAACTTATCAGGTTGTTAACATCTATTTTAATTAAGATAATTCAATCACATACATTCAATCATTAATCTTTTTCTATTTTCTCAAAGTCTTTAATATTTCATACAGTAACAAATCGTTGCTTATATTTGAATGTAATCCGTTGCACTAAAATAACAATGACTGCTGCACAGAGTGAGATCATTTGCTTTAGGATACAACAAATAAGTAACTACTAGTTGAATAAATAATTGTCATTTATTTTTAAAATGACAATTCTTAACAATAAATCTTTGTATTTTTACCAAATGTTTATAAACTAATGTATTACAAAATATTTTACTAAAAATGCTAAGCAGGGGTCATCAGAACCGCCTACATGCAAAAATTATAATCTACAAAGTCATAAATCATCAATAAATTGAGGTGGAGGGGAGGTGGTGGTACAGCTTAATTCTAAGTAAATTTTAATATAGTTTCAATGCTTATTCTGCATCAACATCTCGCAGAAAGATGGCGAATGTTTATTAACAATTTATCATGCCGCTGTGATACGGTTAGAACAAAGAAATCATGCACCGATCACGCACTGGTGTCATAAGAGTTACACAGCGTGAAAGTTACTAACTAAATAGGGCTGCAGACCACGAAATACACTCCTTCCACCTTCGGTTGTATACACCTTAAAGATTATAAGTCCAACTTCTCAATCCAAACAACTTTATCTTCGATGAAAGTAACATTTAACGTTTTTGTTGTTGTCTTCATTATTGTTGTTTGTTGTTTTTGTGTCGTTGTTGGTTGATATTAACTTGTATAATGCTATTTCATTTTCTTATCAGTTATTTATATAATATTTAATTTCATAAATATCTTGACGTTGACCATGTTTTTTTATAAATTTTTACTAAATGTTTTAATAATATTATTGCCATTGACGACCAGATAACCAGTTATATATAATAAATGGCTCATTTTTAATTTTAATTGTATTCATTATGATGTTTTCTTTAAACTTATCATGTCGTTAACATCTACATTAATTAAGATATTTTATTCACATACATCCAATCATTAATCTATTTCTATTTTCTCGAAGTCGTTTCTATTTCATATAGTGACAAATCGTTGCTTATTTTTAACGTTTTTTGTTGTTATTTTTAGCTCACCTGTCACAAAGTGACATGGTGCGCTTTTGTGATTTTGTGATCAATTTTCGTCCGTCCGTCCGTCGACCGTAAACATTTACTTTAAACGGCATCTCCTCATAAATCGCTAAGCCAATTTCATCTAAACTTCACAGGAATGGTTCATTGGTGGCCATACTTAAAACTGTTCAAACAAAATAATAATGTGAAAAAACTGGTTGCCATGGCAACCGAAAGAAAAAAAGAAAATAACTTCTTTAAAAAAAACTAAAGAGCTAGAGCTTAGATATTTGGTATGAAACATCTTATAATGAGTGTCTGATGATAAAAGCCCTGATGTCCAAATTGGCCCCGTCCCAGGGGGTCACTGCTTTTATTTATGTGTATATAGTAAAATACTAAAAAAAAACTTCTTTTATAAAACCTAAAGAGCTAGAGCTTAAATATTTGACATTAAATATTGTCTGATGAGTGTCTACCAAGTTTGTTCAAATAAAAGTCCTGGGGTCCAAATTGGTCCCGTCCCGGTTGTCATTGATTTTCCTTATATGTATATAGTAAAAACTTAAAAAATCTTCTTTTAAAAACCAAAAGAGTTAGCATGAAACATCTTCTGGTGAGTGTCTACCAAATTTGTTTAAATAAAAGCTCAAAAGTTAAATTGGCCCCGCCCCGGGTGTCTGATTTTCCTTGTATGTCTATAGTAAAAACTTAAAAATCTTCTTTTCAAACACCCAAAGAGCTAGAGCTTAGATATTCATCATGAAACATCTTGTAATGGGTGTCTTCAAAGTTGGTTAAAAAAGCCCCTCGGTTAAAATTATTCCCGCCCCAAGGGCCGATATACAGGTGAGCGATTTAAGGGCCATCATGGCCCTCTTGTTTATTATTGTTGTTTGTTTGTTGTTTTTGTTTCGTTGTTGGTTGATATCAACTTGTATTATGATATTTTTTTCTTATCAATTATTTATATAATATCCATTTTTATAAATGTCTTGACGTTGACCATGTTTTTTTATCAATTTTCAGTAATTGTTTTAATAATATTGTATCCATTGACGACCAGATGACCGGCTTTAATACTTGACTCATTTTTGTTTAATTGTATTCATTATAATGTTCTTTTTAACTTAACAATGTTTTTATTAACATATTTCAATCATTTTCATTCAATTATTTATCCATTTTTATGCCCTGTTGTTATCAGTGTTGTTTTAGTAACTGTTTAGTGATATTTTGTGCAGGAAGAGTTAACATAGCGGATAAGTTGTGCGCTTTTCAGTCATTGTGTATCATGGTATCGAGCCCTGATCAGAAACATGCATCATAATTTGGCGTTAATATTGGTTATTTCAAAAAGCGAACTTGAACGGGATGATTAAAAATTAATTGAAGCTGTTGTCATAGTTAAGTTTAATAAATAACTATGTTTAAACAAGTATAACGTGACATTTTGTCATAGATGTTGAAAAAAAAGTCTTTGTATAGAAAAGCTCAGAGATTTGATACGTTATTTTTATGTTAATAATTGCTAGTAAGTCAGCCAACCAACATCAAATTGCAGTTTTCTTTTCTCAAATTGTTTGCGATTTTGTGTTATTTGAATTTATAATAATTTGATCTTTTGTTTGTATAAGATTGGTACTTATGTTGTTGTTGTTAATGTTGTTGTTTGTTTATAATAATTACATAGATATTTGATATTATTTTTATAGTAATTTGTCATTTATGTTTTGTTGTTTTAATTTAGCTCACCTGACCACGAAGTGGTCAATGTTAGGTATAGTGATGGGGCGTCCGTCGTCGTGCGTAGTGCGTCGTGCGTTGTTCGTCGTCAACAATTTCGTTCGTAACAATCTAACAGTCACAGTTTTGATTTGATTGTCATCAAACTTTGTAAGAATGTTTGATTCATTAAAATACAGGCCAAGTTCGAAGATGGGCCATCTCCGGTCAAAAACTTTGTGACAATAGATTAAAAAAGAAAAAGCTTGTTAACACTCTAGTGGCTGCAGTTTTGATCCAAATATTCTAGTAATTTGTCAAGAAGGTTGTGTTAATGATTTCAAGGTCAAGTTAGGAAATGGGTGATCTCGGATCAAAAACTAGGTCACAGGAGCTAAAAATAGAAAAAGCTTGCTTACACTGTAGTGGCTGCAGTTTTCATCCAAATTTCCTGGAAATTGGTCAGGAAGGTTGTTTTGATGATTTCTAGGCCCATAAGGTTAAATATGGATCATCTCCGATCAAAAACTAGGTCACATGAGCTAGAGCTAAAAATAGAAAAATCTTGTTAATAATTAGTGGCTGCAGTTTTGATCCAAATATTTTGGAAATTTGTCAGGAAGGTTGCTTTGATGATTTCTATGTCAAGTTCAAATATGGGTTGTCTCCGGTCAAAAACTAGGTCACAGGAGCTAGAGCTAGAAATAGAAAAATCTTGTTAACACTGTAGTGGCTGCAGTTTTGATCCAAATATCCTGGAAAGTGACTAGGAGGGCAGTTTTGATAATTTTTAGGTCAAGTATGATTATGGGTCACCAGGGGTCAAAAACTATGTCACACTGCCCATATATGGAAAACCTTGTGAATACTCAATTGACATCAAACTTGGTCAGGATGCTTGTCTAGTTAATTGCTTTGAGGAGTTCAAATATGTGTATCTCTGATGGAAAACTAGGTCACATGAGCTAAAATGACAATATTGTTAGCTCTCTAGTCGCTACTGTTGTTATCCAAATATCCTGTAAATTGGTCTGCTAGTTTGTTTTGATAATTTCTAGGTCCAGTCCGAATATGGGTCATCTGGAGTCAAAGCTTGGTCACACTGTCCAAATATGGAAAAACCTTGTTAACACACTAAAGGTCACATTTTGACTCAATTGTCATCAAACTTGGTCAGGATGTTTGTCTAAGACATTGCTCGGATGTGGTTGATGGGTCAGGGGAGCAATCTAGGCCTAAATTGGCCCTCTTGTATTCTTGTTTAATTTTAGTTTTAGTAATTTATTTTTTTCATTAGCATTTTTTTAAATCTGAACATTAATTTACAATTTGTAAAACTACGCTTATCAAAAATTTTATGCGACTTGATAACGAGCACTTATGTTGCCATCCTGATGAAAGCTTAGTTGCAAAGACACTTTGAAATATAGATTGTTTATTGGCTGTTGTTTCTATAACTTAACTAAGTTTATTTGCTTTGTACTCTCTCTTGCTACTTAAAGGTGTTGGGGCGTTTACTATATTTTATTATATCGTGAAAGTCTCCAGTGCGCTCCATTTATCTCAGCTCTGAACAACAAAGAAAAGAGCGTACATATATTCAAAAGCTTATCAGACTTACCTGTCCTTGATAACATATTTTTGTTTGATGTTAAAACATTTTCACGGTTTTTGAGAAAATGGGCAATTATTGTAACTCAAAAAGTGGATATAATTAAACAAAAATGGCTTTATGGATTATCTGTTCCTTAGAAATACATTTCAAATTTCAGATTGAGCAAAGATATTAAGCTTTGATTGAAAATCTTTGACGTTTGTTTGGAAACTTCACCTTTAAAAAAATTACTAAGAAATTCAAAGCAAAATGGGATCATAACTAAAACAAGATGTGTATTACTTTATCTGTAAATAAAAATTGCATATCAATTCAAAAGTTGAACAATTTTACAAAGAAATTCAATAACAATGTGGGCATAACTTTGCAAAACTAAATTTTAAGATTACCTACCATTTTGAAATGATGTCAGATTTGGAAACTGCGAATTCACTTATATTCTCGGGCATGAAATTTCGTTGTTTTATCAAAACAGGCCTTTTTGTGGGTTCTTAAATTCGTGGATTTTCATTTTATTGTAAAAAAAAATAACCTAATGAAAAGTAATCTTACAATCAATCGCATGAACATATCTTTACGTATCACACAGCGCTTGTCAATAATCTAATCCTTGCCTCTAGGCAACACATAAAGATA